GGGGTAGTGATAGGGGTAGTGATAGGGGTTGGGGTAGTGGTAGGGGTAGTGATAGGAGTTGGGGTAGTGATAGGGGTGGGGGTAGTGATAGGGGTTGGGGTAGTGATAGGGGTGGTGGTAGTGATAGGGGTTGGGGTAGTGATAGGGGTTGGGGTAGTGATAGGGGTAGTGATAGGGGTAGTGATAGGGGTTGGGGTAGTGATAGGGGTTGGGGTAGTGATAGGGGTTTGGGTAGTGATAGGGGTTGGTGTAGTGATAGGGGTTGGGGTAGTGATAGGGGTTGGTGTAGTGATAGGGGTTGGGGTAGTGATAGGGGTTGGGGTAGTGATAGGGGTAGTGATAGGGGTAGTGATAGGGGTAGGGGTAGTGATAGGGGTTGGGGTAGTGATAGGGGTAGTGATAGGAGTTGGGGTAGTGATAGGGGTAGTGATAGGGGTTGGAGTAGTGATAGGGGTTGGGGTAGTGATAGGGGTTTGGGTAGTGATAGGGGTTGGGGTAGTGATAGGGGTTGGGGTAGTGATAGGGGTAGTGATAGGGGTAGTGATAGGGGTTGGGGTAGTGATAGGGGTAGTGATGGGGGTTGGGGTAGTGATAGGGGTTGGGGTAGTGATAGGGATTTGGGTAGTGATAGGGGTTGGGGTAGTGATAGGGGTTGGGGTAGTGATAGGGGTTTGGGTAGTGATAGGGGTTGGGGTAGTGATAGGGGTTAGGGTAGTGATAGGGGATGGGGTAGTGATAGGGGTTGGGGTAGTGATAGGGGTAGGGGTAGTGATAGGGGTTGGTGTAGTGATAGGGGTTGGGGTAGTGATAGGGGTTGGGGTAGTGATAGGGGTTGGGGTAGTGATAGGGGTAGTGATAGGGGTAGTGATAGGGGTAGTGATAGGGGTAGTGATAGGGGTTGGGGTAGTGGTAGGGGTAGTGATAGGAGTTGGGGTAGTGATAGGGGTAGGGGTAGTGATAGGGGTTGGAGTAGTGATAGGGGTTGGGGTAGTGATAGGGGTTGGGGTAGTGATAGGGGTTGGGGTAGTGATTGGGGTTGGGGTAGTGATAGGGGTAGTGATAGGGGTAGTGATAGGGGTAGTAATAGGGGTAGTGATAGGGGTTGGGGTAGTGATAGGGGTAGTGATGGGGGTTGGGGTAGTGATAGGGGTTGGGGTAGTGATAGGGGTAGTGATAGGGGTTGGGGTAGTGATAGTAGTTGGTGTAGTGATAGGGGTTGGGGTGGTGATAGGTGTTGGGGTAGTGATAGGGGTTTGGGTAGTGATAGGGGTGGGGGTAGTGATAGGGGTTTGGCCAGTGATAGGGGTTGGGGTAGTGATAAGGGTTGGAGTAGTGATAGTGGTTGGGGTAGTGATAGGGGTTGGGGTAGTGATAGGGGATGGGGTAGTGATAGGGGTTGGGGTAGTGATAGGGGTTGGGGTAGTGATAGGGGTTGGGGTAGTGATAGGGGTTGGGGTAGTGATAGGGGTTGGAGTAGTGATAGGGGTTGGGGTAATGATAGGGGTTGGTGTAGTGATAGGGGTTGGAGTAGTGATAGGGGTTGGTGTAGTGATAGGGGTAGTGATAGGGGTAGTGATAGGGGTTGGGGTAGTGATAGGGGTTGGGGTAGTGATAGGGGTTGGGGTATTGATCGGGGTTGGGGTAGTGATAGGGGTAGGGTAGTGATAGGGGTTGGGTAGTGATAGGGGTTGGAGTAGTGATAGGGGTTGGGGTAGTGATAGGGGTTGGGGGTAGTGATAGGGGTTGGGGTAGTGATAGGGGTTGGGGTAGTGATAGGGGTTGGGGTAGTGATAGCGGTTGGGGTAGTGATAGGGGTTGGGGTAGGATAGGGGTTGGAGTAGTGATAGGGGTTGGGGTAATCATAGGGGTTGGTGTAGTGATAGGGGTTGGGGTAGTGATAGGGGTTGGGGTAGTGATAGGGGTAGTGATAGGGGTAGTTATAGGGGTTGGGGTAGTGATAGGGGTTGGGGTAGTGATAGGGGTTGGGGTATTGATCGGGGTTGGGGTAGTGATAGGGGTAGGGTAGTGATAGGGGTTGGGGTAGTGATAGGGGTTGGAGTAGTGATAGTGGTTGGGGTAGTGATAGGGGTTGGGGTAGTGATAGGGGATGGGGTAGTGATAGGGGTTGGGGTAGTGATAGGGGTTGGGGTAGTGATAGCGGTTGGGGTAGTGATAGGGGTTGGGGTAGTGATAGGGGTTGGAGTAGTGATAGGGGTTGGGGTAATGATAGGGGTTGGTGTAGTGATAGGGGTTGGGGTAGTGATAGGGGTTGGGGTAGTGATAGGGGTAGTGATAGGGGTAGTTATAGGGGTTGGGGTAGTGATAGGGGTTGGGGTAGTGATAGGGGTTGGGGTATTGATCGGGGTTGGGGTAGTGATAGGGGTAGTGATAGGGGTTGGGGTAGTGATAGGGGCTAGGGTAGTGATAGGAGTTGGGGTAGTGATAGGGGTTGGGGGTAGTGATAGGGGCTGGGGTAGTGATAGGGGTTGGGATAGTGATAGGGGTAGTGATAGGGGCTGGGGTAGTGATAGGGGTTGGGATAGTGATAGGGGTAGTGATAGGGGGAGTGATAGAGGCTGGGGTAGTGATAGGAGTTGGGGTAGTGATAGGGATTGGGGTAGTGATAGGAGTTGGGGTAGTGATAGGGGTAGGGTAGTGATAGGGGTTGGGGTAGTGATAGGGGTAGTGATAGGGGTGGGGGTAGTGATAGGGATTGGGGTAGTGATAGTGGTTGGGGTAGGCTTGGTCGTAGCTGGAGGACGGCGGCAAGGAGTAGCAGGATTAATGATGGGGCTCGGGGGTTGTTTTAAGGGAGGATCGTAAACTGGTTCGTGAAGGTGATTGTTCTGTGTGCTGCAATTGGAGTTGGTTCCAGTGAATGGGAGCGAGAAGGGAGCAGGAAAGAGAGAGACGGCAGAGACTGGGCCAGTGCCCGATTATCCTCGTCGCAAAAGTGGCAACATATGTCGTAGCTACCTGCACTTTCAAGGGCCCCGCGCTAAATGCTTTCAAGCTATCAATTCCGCTTCAGTGATTCTGCACTTGCCCTATTACTATAGTACTATACTGCCTTAAACTTTTACGAACAACCGGGTGTTTAAGGTTAGCGAATTGTCGTATTATCTGGCGGTATAGCAAATGAAAAAAATACAATTACTTTACGATGCAAGTAAAAAAATGTCTTTTAATATTTATGTTTTTTTTTATTTAGGGCCCCTTTATACACATCATATGCTACAGGCCCCGCGCTAGCTGAATCCGGCACTGGACTGGGCGCGTCGGGCACCGGACGGGACCAGCCTAGTGAGAGGTGCGGCTGACCCACGCCGTGCCGGCCTTCAAGGAGCAGTGGGCGCTGGAGGAGGCCGTGTGCTCGGTGGCAGATGACGGTAGAGAGCTCTGCGTGCAGATCTAAGCTACCCGTCGGAGGCCGTTTGACTGTGGGAAGGGCTGCGTGCAGATGCAGCACTTGTCGTAGTTATAAAGAAAAAAGAAAGATCGAGAGAGAGCCAAATGGAGTAGGAAGAGAGGGGGCAGAGAGAGAGGGGGGGCGGAGAGGGGGTAGAGAGAGAGGAGAGGCAGAGAGGGGGGTAGAGAGAGAGGGAAGGGGAAAGAAAAAAATGTTTGGGTCTTTCAGTTAAAAGGGGGGGGGGGGAGGTTACATAAAGCAAAGCATTAAAAAAACACACAAAAAACCGAAATGATGAACGGAGCAAAGAGCCGACTACACCGAACATCTTCTTGTTTCTTCTGATCGTAAAAAAAAGAGAGAGCCATGGCATTGCTGTCTTTGGCACGGAGGCGCTCGTTACATCCTCGTGGTGTTCCGTATTTTTTTTTACCTCGACGCTCTCACTCGCGGCATCTCACCGCGAGGGGGCACGCGAACCCCACCACGTCTCTCTCCCTTCGTCGCCGTTCACGAATCGTCAGCCATGGACGATCCGCTCCGCTGCTGGATGAAGGCATCCCCACCCGAGCCGCCGACCACGTCTGACGATCCGGGCGATGTCACAATCCACAAAGCGTCTGCAACAGGAGTCGATTTCGTCGCTGCGTCTCCCTGCTGGACGTCCTATCGGACGCATAACTAGTCAATATTTTATTATTTTTATATTCTATTAACCAACCTCTCCGCCGCTGATGGCTTTTACACTTTAATGAGAACAACTTAAGAGAGCAAAGTGGTGGTGATGAGTGCCTCTCTCACGTAGTTTTATTTTATTTTATTAAAATTGCTTTTACCAAAGGCTTGCACGAAAGCTTGATATTGTATCCATTAAAAAGACATCCCCGTTCAACCGTCCACGAATTAATGCGATTGAGAACCCAGGGCATTTAAACTTCCGTGGCCTCGATGTCCAGCGCTGGCTCTCCAACCCCACACAATCCCGGGTCACCACCACGAACTGCGCGTCCCACCCCGCTCCATCCACACGCCACACTTACACCACTCTGCAACAACGCCAACCCGTTAAAACAATAACAAAATAAACTGTAAAGTATTTTTTTTGTTATCAAGTAATTCCCACTGAGCTGTGCTGTTATTTTCAGATGTGACCTGGCCACAATTGATAGCTCAACGAAGTGAACGATCACGTGCGAATGTAAAGGAGCCAAATTCTCTAAACGCGTGATGTTGATTCTAAATGCGGAGGGAAAAAAACTGGAGAACCCAGAGAAAAATCCACGCGACTACGGGGAGAGAGAGAGATACGCGGACGCCAAATATACAGCAGGCGCGTCGGGGTCGGGATTAATCCCACGACCTCCTCCATACCAGGCGTGGGAGATAAGATCTCACAGCACCCCACTCTACAGGCGCAGCACCCACCCTAGCCCACGCTACCATCACGCACCACACTACACCACCACCACCACTTCCACACCACCATAGTATTGTAGCATGGATGCTGTCGTGGGCCGTTGCGCATTTAATTAAATGCCACTCCCCCCCCCCCCCCCTGTCTATTTCACCCCCCACCCCTCCCTGTTCGTAGCCCGACCTCTGAGCTCCTCCGAAGCAACAGCAACGCACGAACGATCGATAGCTGCGCCACTGACTCCACACCACACCACCAAAGATTACCCGTACGGCCTGAACAGTCTGTTGGGGCAAGTGTTGTTAGCGAGCGCACACACACACGCACGCACGCCAGGCTGGTGGGTTTGCCTACACCACGCCCGGCTGCCTCTGTCTCCCCGATGCTGATGTCCACGCACCGAACCAGACGCAGCGCTCATTTGGGTCCGAGTCAACCTGGAGGAGGACCGGTTCAGATGTTCACCACGCGCGTCACTCCGAGCCCTCACGCGCGGCCCCCCGATGGCCCCTATCGCCTCTGGGGCCCGAGCCAGCGCGTCATCGGCAGAGCCCTTGGGGAGTGGTGATCTCAACCTCTGTTGGCTACTGTACCCATCTTGTTGAATTTTTGTTTCGACCGAGTAGTAACCTCAGTTGCCTGACCCAACGTGCTGCTGAGAAAGACCTGTATGAATTTCGAATCTCAATGCTTATTTTTTTTTTAACCAATTGTCCACTTGCTAGTAACTGTAATTGAATACAAAAGAACATTTCAACGGACGCTCTGCAATGCTTTTTTTTCCGCCTGAGATACGACCGCTTGTGTTGCGATAGAAACGTCGTGATATATTATTGTTTTGTTTTATTTTTCGATTTAAAGCTTTCGTGACTGCAAGGATTCATCTTCTTTGGTTCTTTCGGTAAAGTCACCACGTAGAATGAGAATAAAATAATAAATTGATAAAATAAAATAACACAATAATATTCTCACGACGTTTCGGCCACAACACAAGCGGTCTTCATCAGGTGAAGGGACGACTTTACCGAAAGAACCAAAGAAGATTGTTTTATTTTATTTATTTTTCTACCTACGTGACTTTACCGAAAGAACAAAAGAGTGTGGATTCCTGCAGTCACGAAAGCTTCAAATCAAGATTGGATGCTCTACATGTTCACGCTCGCTGGTTAATCTTGGAAACCACATCGTGCACGGCGAAATTAGTTTATGAAGATATTTTATATCGTTTTAGGTAACCTGTACTGACGATATTAATTCTGCTGTGATGTACTCCGATTAGCATGTTCGGCGACGTATGGTGGGAAAGAAGGTCAACATACATCCTCAACATCGTGGGAAGAGCCCAGCACACAATGAGCTGCACAGATGCATTCCACGGTCTGTATTTCCAAATTTGAAACCGGTCACCGCAAGCGTAGCAGTCGTGGATTGAAAGCCATCCCATTATATGATTCATGAACTCGGCCTAAATGACTGCCATTCAACATTTATGAGAGAAACGCACCCTGCTAAGCGTGCGTCGGAATACAATCGCTGTTCGGTTACACGGTTTATTGTCCCGATGTGGAAATTTTAACCAATTGTGGGATCTGGGATTGTTGTTATTCCATCAAACCACGCGGGGTGGAGCGGTGGCGCAGCGGTTATTGCACTTGTGCACACACAAAAAAAATAATTTGTACCGGTCCCTTTACCACCACGGTGAACGTCAGTGGCGAGTTGCGTCTGAAGCGGTCCCTGGGGGCCGCGTCCTTCACCAAAACGCCGCATCGACCAGCGTGGTGAAGTATGGTCAAAAACACAGCCCGGTCGATCGACGCGATTCGTCGGGATGCCTGCATCCAGCGGTAGGATTGCAATTTGACACGATGAAACATCGACTCGGAAACGTCGATGACGACACGAGCGATTCGTGCGCTTCTCGCGATCGATGATGCTACGCGGTGACCCCCGGGCTGCTAACCGCGACACCGTGGCGCCTTTTACTCGGCTCCGGTGAGAGCCGGGAGCTGGTCTCGAACCTGCACCCTGGAAGGCAGAAGCCGCACGGCCCCACCGCTCCCTGCACGTGACGCGGGCAGGAGGGGGCAGGCCGTGCAGCAGCGCAGCTTTGAATTCTCGCAGCGGCTTTTATATTTTTTGTAGATTTATAACAATTTGCGACGGCGGTGGCGAGGGGGTGGGGGGAAGGCGGTCTGCCGCGACTGCGCGCGTGCCTCTGTGCGTTGTGTTTAAAGTGCACCTAGCCTGGCACAAGCGCCGTGGTGAAGTCACCGCCACTCAGTGGTAAATGGCGGTTGTTGTTGTTGTTGTTGTGTTAGGTCGACTCAGCCTCAAACGAGTACCCGGTGCAATGTATAACCATTGCCACTGGGGAGACAAAGGCGGCCGGGCGTGGTTTGTGGCGAGCCCACCCCTCTCTCGTGCGCCGTTCCGGTCTTCACTGGCGCTGCTCGCTAAAACAGCACTTGCCACAACGAGTCCGTTGAGGCTATACGGGGGATCTTTGTACCTGCCTTGTCTGACGCTTGCCCTAAATTCGTAGATATGCAAAAGGGGACTTCTCTTAAAGGGTTGCCTGGAGAGTGGCCCGAGTCACGTGGCTTGCATTAGGACTCGGGCTACGGCTCACACGTGCTAAGTGTGCTTCCAATGTTCCTCGACAGACGTTTGACAGATCATGCAAATATCATTACGGTTCGGTCCAAAGAGCGCTTATTGTTGACAGTGTTATCCTCATGCAGTTGAGACCATTTACAGATCCGACCCTCAATTGGGCAATAAAAATGAATAATCCTCACTTCTACAGCTCCCGATACAAAATTTAATCGTGCTATTGTTAATAAAGTATTAAAGCTTTCGTGACTGCATAAAATTACTCATTGGTTTTTTTCGGTAAAGTCACGTATGTAGAAATACAATAGAATTATATTAAAACAAAAAATAATCACGACGTTTCGATCACAACGCAAGATCGCTTGCAAGATCGCTTGCGTTGTGATCGAAACGTCTTGATTGTTTTTTGTTTTAATATAATTTTATTGTATTTCTACATACGTGACTTTACCGAAAAAAACAACGTGCTATTGTTGTTGTGATTGTTTTGGTTGCTGTTGTTGTTGTTGTTGCTCGGGCATTCGAGGAAACGACCACAAATGCGCCTCAAACTCGTCAGATCGCGGTCTCGGCAGGTTTAAGCCTGGTTCGTGGCTGGATGGGGTGACCCGCACCGTGGCTTGCCAGGTGTTGTAGGTTGTTGGTGCCGCCAGCTGTTGGCAGGAGATGGAAGCGCAGAGCGGCACAGCGTCGTGCACGGCGCGATGCTGGGGGCGGGGGGGGGTCTGGGGGTTTCTTTCATCGATCACGGAATCGACCCCACATCCCAATGTGGCAGGGCCAGGGGTGGAGTCACAGTGGGGGCTGGGGGGGCTCAGCCCCCCCTGAAATTTTGGGAAAGTCGGTAATCGAGATAACCGGATATCCAGCTGCTGCAAAATGCTGCAGGCTGCCACCTTGTGCTGCCCTGCAGGCTATCACGTTGTGCTGCCCTGCAGGCTGCCACGTTGTGCTGCCCTGCAGGCTGCCACCTTGTGTGCTGCCCTGCAGGCTATCACGTTGTGCTGCCCTGCAGGCTGCCACGTTGTGCTGCCCTGCAGGCTGCCACCTTGTGTGCTGCCCTGCAGGCTATCACGTTGTGCTGCCCTGCAGGCTGCCACGTTGTGCTGCCCTGCAGGCTGCCACCTTGTGTGCTGCCCTGCAGGCTATCACGTTGTGCTGCCCTGCAGGCTGCCACGTTGTGCTGCCCTGCAGGCTGCCACCTTGTGTGCTGCCCTGCAGGCTGCCACCTTGTGTGCGGCCCTGCAGGCTGCCACCTTGTGTGCTGCCCTGCAGGCTGCCACGTTGTGCTGCCCTGCAGGCTGTCACGTTGTGCTGCCCTGCAGGCTGCCACGTTGTGCTGCCCTGCAGGCTGCCACCTTGTGCTGCCCTGCAGGCTGCCACCTTGTGTGCTGCCCTGCAGGCTGCCACCTTGTGTGCTGCCCTGCAGGCTGCCACGTTGTGCTGCCCTGCAGGCTGCCACCTTGTGTGCGGCCCTGCAGGCTGCCACCTTGTGTGCGGCCCTGCAGGCTGCCACCTTGTGTGCGGCCCTGCAGGCTGCCACCTTGTGGGCTGCCCTGCAGGCTGCCACCTTGTGTGCTGCCCTGCAGGCTGCCACCTTGTGTGCGGCCCTGCAGGCTGCCACCTTGTGTGCTGCCCTGCAGGCTGCCACCTTGTGTGCTGCCCTGCAGGCTGCCACCTTGTGCTGCCCTGCAGGCTGCCACCTTGTGTGCTGCCCTGGAGGCTGCCACCTCGTGTGCTGCCCTGCAGGCTGCCACCTTGTGTGCTGCCCTGCAGGCTGCCACCTTGTGTGCTGCCCTGCAGGCTGCCACCTTGTGTGCTGCCCTGCAGGCTGCCACCTTGTGTGCTGCCCTGCAGGCTGCCACCTTGTGGGCTGCCCTGCAGGCTGCCACCTTGTGCTGCCCTGCAGGCTGCCACCTTGTGTGCTGCCCTGCAGGTTGCCACCTTGTGTGCTGCCCTGCAGGCTGCCACCTCGTGCTGCCCTGCAGGCTGCCACCTTGTACGGCCCTGCAGGCTGCTTGAGCGGCAGCCTTTCGAACTTATTAGCCACATCAGCGGCTCCGACCTATTAATAAACTCCGCGTTGAAATCCAATAAAATGTGTTTTATACATTTGTGGCGCCTATTGTAAAACATACACACTGAATATCTCGGAATATTGAAATCAGCCCCCCCCCCCCCCAGTCAAAATCCTGGCTCCGCCCCTGGGCAGGGCCCTCCTGAAAGAGAGTTTTGAGACTGAGCGAGGCTTTCCGCTGTAAATAATTAGCATTGGTGAGACAGTGGCCAATTTCATTGCGTGAATTCCCCCCCGTTATATTTGCGTAAAGTGAATGCGTAAGGGCAAATATCGCGTCGCCTCGTTAAGCTTTGGTGGGAGACCTGACAGCGAACAACATCAAAGCAACAGAGACCCAAAACTGCAAAGCATCGCTCACGTGAGGTGGATACGATGCTTGGTGCCGTCTCTTCGATTCGAGGAGTGGTGGCACGCCGGTTGATGCACAACGCTCTGAACCCGGCGACTGGAGTTCGATTCTCGATCGGGTCCTCATCCAATCTACAAATCCGTACTCACCAGCGTGGTGAAGTATGGTCCAACAAACCCCATAACCGACAGAGCTTGGTAAGGCTTCCATCACTCGCCACTGATGTCATCCGAATTAAACTCTGGTCGCCGTGCATTGCGCCAACGCTCCAACTCTCATGGCCCAGCGCAACATTTGCCCTGAGCTGCCACGCGCCCGGCACACATCACAATCATGATATTTATTTATTCTGGAGAAATCCGGTGAGCTGGGAAGCTCTCTTTCACAGATGTCCAGCCGTCTCCCGAACCTGCAGCACGATATTTGTGTTGAATTTTTTTTTATATATATATCGCAAGACAATCTTTAGCATCGCGGATAATTTTACCCCTGGATGTTTAAAAATTTAAAAAAAGGAAATAAAAATCCAGGCGCGTTCGCCCCCACATCTGATTGTAATCAGTTACACAAAACAAGACAAAGATCCCCCGTGTAGCCTTAACAGGCTGTAGGGGCAAGCGCCGTTAGCGAGCAGCACCTGTGAAGGCCGGAACGAGGGGGGGTGGGTGGCCAGCACAACGCAAGGGCCGCCTTTGTCTCCCTATTGGTGGCGTCCACGCGTCACGCAGACGCCCTTCACGCGGCAGACAGGCAGAGGCATTTCATTCGACAATAACGGCGAATTGGTGTGCCAC